GTTCATCTTAAATACTTTATGAAACTTGAATCAATATAGAAATTAGGATCTAAATCCAAGCATGATAATATTAGGGTAGATTTTCCCCATAATCCAAACCCTAAGTCCAAACTTTGCATGACAAACATTAGAATTAAGTCTCCCATTAGACTTTTCTTTTTGCATTGTATCATTAAGACTAAAACATTTTCTCATTCAAAAATCCAAAAACACTTAACAATATTCAAAATCCTTTTCAAAACTAAGGTGTGAAGGTGATGGGTGTCTCCTTGGATGAGGGCCCACTTAACACCTTCTTCCTAACAAAAACACAAACCAAATCCAAATCATTTTGGCCTCAGGACTTTTTCACTTTTTAAAACATTTTCAAAATGGATATGTAACTCCATTCTACACAAAACATTGATGTGTAGTCTCTAACGATCGAGTGACAATGTTAACTGTTAGAATGTGAATTTAACATCATCCATAAAAAACACACAACAAACAAAATATATGTATTAAACCTTATTTTAAAAACAATGTTGAGCGAAAGGTTTTTGGCCTATATCAAATATAGTAGTCTAAACTAACCTAGTTATTAGAAACTCGAATACGTACGAGCCATATGGAATTAACATAATGATAAAAATTAATCAACATAATAATATCTCCATTAATAGTTTAATATCAAACACAACGGTTTCCCATTTCCAATGAGATCATATTAAAAACATAACTTCATAATTTATCGAACAAGCGGCGCGTAATCAATTTTTTAGAATTTTCTTTGAGATTTGTTGATACACAAAAGCAATTACAATCAAAGTGATTATAAGCTAATCAAAAAATCAATTTAAACTTTAATAATCAAAGAGAAATTCTATACGAATCAATCGATCAAACAACATATTCAACAAATTGCATATAGAGAGTAAATGAAAGTAAGAGATAGAACATTGCAATTTTCTTTTGAGTTAAACAAGCTAAACAATTTGTCAAACACTTGGCGTGCAATCAAAATTTCAGAATTTTCCTTTGTGTTGTGTTGATATGAAAAAGCACTTATAATGAAAAGTGATTATAAGCAACTCAACAAACAATTCAAAAGAAAAACTGTTTCGAAAAATTCCTACACGTCAATAGATTACTCAATGATATTTGACAAATCGATGTATGAAGATTAAAGAAAGTAAAGTAAAAAAATATAAGAGACACAGAGATTTTTTTAGGAAGTTCACCAATCATCCTTGCTATGGCTACATCTCACCCCAATTCCAAATTTGGAATTAGGATAATTTCTTACTTTGAAAAAGTATGGTTACAAGAGAAGTGCTCAAGAGAAATCCTATAAAACCTAACTGTTTGATGTTGATTCAACCCCTTCTCTTATTTTGATGTTCAACAAGATCAAACACACAATGGATTCAACTTATTCCAAGCTTAAGCTACTTCCTTGCACTTCAAGGTTTCTTGCAAAGATTTCAAACACTCCAAGGTTGTTCACTCGAGAAAATATGATTGCAATCTATTAACATAAGGTCTTCAATTATATTTGGCACTTTAAGCTACTTCATTACTAAGATTTCAAACACTCCAAGGTTCCTTGCAAATATTTTAAGCACTCCAAGGTTGTTCACTTGACCATGATTCTCTCTTGAACGATCTTGCACGAAAACCCCAAATCAACCAATGATCTTGGAGGACAAACCTGATGTTTTTCCTGAATGAAAACCCCTACAAAACTCCACCCAATATACAATTGGATACTAGAAATCCTTGTCTAGATGGCACCCCAACGAAACACCATTACAATATAATGTCAGTGTGTATGCATAGATTGGATGTTGTAGATGAAGAGAGAAATAGGATAATTTTATGGTTTCACCAACTTATGAATGATGCATGAAAGAAAATTTATAGTTTTGAAACTTTTAGGGCAAAAGGGGTAAATTTGGAATATAAATATTTAAAGAAATTAACCAAACATAAAAGTATGTGTCGACATATATATATCGTATGTGTCGACACATACATGAATTTTAAAATGTATGTGTCGACCTATGAGAACTATATATCGACCGAAACAAGTTAGAAGCTACAAGCTTTAAAACGATAGTAAATGTGTCGATCTAAAAAGTGGATGTGTCGACATATAAAAAAAGAACTTATGCAATTTTCAGAAAAGCTTCAGTATGTGTCGACCTGAATCATGCATGTGTTAGCCTAAGACTTACAGAGGCTACAAGCTTTAATAATGGGTTACACGTGTCGACCGGAAATACTGATGTATCGACACATGCAGTGAAAAATCATACAGAAAACTATTTTTAATGACTTGAATCAATTTTAAGATGATTTTTAATGATTTCTAAGACCTCTAATGCAGAGGAGTGCCACAAGACATAAGGAAACTATCATCCAATACTCAGAAGTACAAGTTTTTCCCAGTTTGGACATCATTCAAAATATCTTACGATGAAGTTTGTACTCACAACATTAGGGTAGATTTTCCCCATAATCCAAACCCTAAGCCCAAATTTTGCATGACAAACATTAGCATCAAGTATCCCATTAGACTTTTCTTTTTGCATTGCATCATTAAGACTAAAACATTTTCTCATTCAAAAATCCAAAAACACTTAACAATATTCAAAACCCTTTTTAAAACTAAGGTGTGAAGGTGATGGGTGTCTCCTTAGATGAGGGTCCACTTAATACCTTCTTCCTAACAAAAATAAAAACACAAACCAAATCTAAATCATTTTTTCTTTAGGGTTTTTTCACTTTAAAACATTTTCAAAAAGGATATGTTAACTCCATTCTACACAAAATAACGATGCGTAGTCTCAAACGATCAAGTGGCAACGTTAACTGTTAGAAAATGAATTTAACATCATCCATAAAAAACACACAACAAATAAAATATTTTTAAGAAGAACTACGATGTTCTGATTCCCTTGTGGATACGTAGGCATGTAGTTTCAATGCTCAGGCAAACATACTAATAAAAACCTTTTCTTTTTTCTCAATGAATTTATGCATACATTTCCCTTTTAGCAAGTAAGTTTTAGATATATACACCCATTTATTAGATAATAAGAGTGGATCTCGTGGAGTACCACGAACTTGAGGGGTTCTAATACCTCCCCCTTGTGTAATCGACTCTCTTATCCGAGATTTGGTTGTAAGACCATGTTCTTTTTCCAATATCAAAGGTTTTCTCTATATTTTCCTTTCCCTATATCTTTTTTCGGGATAAATAAAGTTAGGTGGCGACTCTGTTTGTTCCATCTGAAGTTATTTGTTTTATTTTTTCGAGTAGCTTCAGGTATATCTAGAGATTAAAATCTTGACTTTTTTTGACAAAAATAGGAGTGTCTCTTAGAAGAAGTGAATTTGATTTAAAATGGGTGCATCTGAATTCTAATTTTTGAATGATACGAATGACATTTTCAAATTTTCACAGGGTGTAAGCACTAAATCATGAAAAAACATGGGTAATACTTTATCTACCCCACCGAGCAAGGGTGAACAAATTGGAAACCCGGGTTTTTCCTTTTATATTTCGGAGATGCATTTTCGAACGCATGAAATACACAAAAAGTCATTGCAAGTGAGATAATTTTAGTTTAAAATTTTACTTGCAATGAGTAATCCCCAAAACGTGATGGTTTAACTTGCCACCCTCAATTTGTACTTGGAATCCCCCCTTCCCCCCTTATCTAGTGCTTTTACGTAAATACCCTTTTCAAAATATCAAAATTTTTAAAAAGTTCAAGCGGGTACCGAAAATTTGGAAAAAGCTATTGGAAGGTAGTGGAAAAAGCGACATATATATGTTGATTCTCATACTTTTATATTATTAGTATAATTATGTCTCCAACGGTCAGTGACGGGAGGTAGTGGGCAATTAGGTTTCAACTTTATCGGAATTCAATGATTTTTGTTGACAAAATAAACAACAATGATTTTATGCTTGCTCGTATACATACGTGGAGGTAAGGCAAAAGGGAAAATGTGATGTTAAGTCTCATAGAAATGGAGACAAATATGACACTGTATCTATAAGCAATAGAATATTTTTAACTTTCATACTATAAATGCCTTATGAGAAATTATTGCTTTCAGACGCATTCTTTCTTTTGTAATTTCCTCCTCTGTCACAACTCAAAATCAATTTATCTTTTCTCCCTGGCCTTCCATTAGCAGAATCATAATGAACAGTGACAACAATAATACCATGTCGTTTACCATTAACATGTGCTCATGCTAAAACTTCAGAACGAGACTTAAATATATGTCAATTACAATATATAAAGGGTAAACTATCAATATCATAAAGACATGAAAACCTTCAAAAAATTCATTTGTTACATAGAAAACATGCAATATCAGTGGTGAAGAACTACGTAAAATCTGCACAGGAATCGATAGAAGAAGCTATCGATTTTGTCCCACACAAGCATAACTTTTTTTTTTGCAGAAATATCAAAAATTTCAAGTATAAACTAAATTTCTATAAGATATATGTAATTATCTGAAAATTTTGTAAATTTCCAGTATATTTCTTTGGTTTTTCATAAGAGTACCAAATTTTTTAAAATTTCCGATAAATCATCTTCAAAAATTTTACAATTTGCACACAATTTTCGATGAGAATGCGAATTTGGATACCAGAAATTTCAAAACGGCTATCGAAAATTTTTTTTAACTACATATCCAAAGTGATTTTTTTTTACAGATTTTCATTTTTTAAAGAATAAATAATAGTGAGGACATTTTTGTCATTAAAGAAATATGGGAGTGTCAAATATAATTTGGGGTGGCAAGTTAAAAAAAGTAAACCGATAAAGTAAAGCCCATAAGGGCGGGCTTAAAGAAAGAAAGCAGAGGCAGAAACGGAATTTGCTGCGAATTGCGATGGTGTTTGGGTGGTGACAGAAGAACAATACAAAGAAAGAAGAACAATTTGGAACATTGATCGATTAGGTTTGTTAGGTCAAAATATCAACACACCGATGCAAGGTGTGGTGCTCAATTCACAATCTTACTGCAGAACTCCTCAACCTTCCTCCACCACCAAACAGGTTTCATTTCTATCTTCTTCGCTTCTTTTTTTTGTTTACATTAAAAAAAAAACTCGTTCTAATATAGTTTCGTCATCGCAGGGTACAGGGTTTTTCGGTAAGCGTGTTCCTTTTAGGAGGACGAACAATAACTCTCTGCGTCCTTGCGTTTCGTTTCATTCACCGCACTCTACACGCCCATTTGGTTAGTTTTCCCCTTTTCAAACCTTAATTCACTATATCCAGTTCAATTTTCCATGTCTTTTTTTAATCTTTAACATAGGGTCTGTTTGGATTGCTTTAGACATTTAAGATTGTTTCTTTGAGACAGATTTTAAAAACAACTTATGCCTCCCATAGCTTTTCCTTTTTTTACTAAAAAGGTTCGTTTAGTGAGGATGGCTAGCTAGGATTGGCTCCTTTGAGTTATGTCCAGCTTATTTCCTATGTCCAAAATAGCTTATCAAAACAATTTATCACCACTTATTTGAAAACAGTTTGATTTATTTTATCTTTTGTCATATAAATAGTTTATATATGAACACTTATAAGGGCGTAATTAAGCTGTTTATCTAAACAATGCCATATGTATATGATTATGAATTGTGAATAAGCCTAGTACTAAATGCCTTGATTCTGAATTCAGGGTTGATATTTCTTTTTTTGAGTTGACATTTATATAACAATTCGGTTTGGGAAATTGTGAGTTGGGACCCCTAATCTGATCTTCATTATTATGTTTGTACAGCTATAAAGGCTGTTGCCACTCCAAATCCAGCTGTGGAATTGCCATTAACCGCTGAAAATGTAGAAACTGTGCTTGATGAAATTCGACCGTATCTCATTTCTGATGGTGGAAATGTTGCTCTACATGAAATCGATGGCAATGTTGTACGGTTGAAGTTACAAGGTGCTTGTGGATCATGTCCAAGTTCTGTTACGACAATGAAATTGGGTATTGAACGTCGATTAATGGAAAAGATCCCTGAAATAGTTGCAGTTGAACCGATATCTGATGAAGAGACCGGTCTTGAGTTAAATGATGAAAATGTTGAAAAGGTTAGTCATGCGTAGCATTATGGATATGCATTGCATATACTAAACTGCTTATTTTGCACGTGCCATACCTCATATTTGAATATTTATTATTTGTTGTCGCCTGTTGAGAAAATTTCTATCATATTTTCCGCTATCTGAAATGGCTACTTGTACATTTATATATGCTTTGGGAGAGAATGACCATCGTTTCCGCTTTCTGAAATGGCTACACTTAATCAATTAATTTTATGACCATCATAGAGGAGAGATCATTGGTGAAGTTCAAACCCTTTGGGGTAAAGTTACACACTTTTGTCATAGAAATTTCTCGGAAGTAATTTGTTGTCTAAGTTAACTAAAAATTTAATACATTTCTCACACAAAAAGTAGCTAGTTTAGACAATAGAAAGTAAATTTCTAGCTTAAAATGATACACTGTTACTTGGTGGTATGGGATTTCTAGACTAATATCATCATCTGTTAGTTTAGTTACTATTGCCATTGTTTGTTGCCGAACCTGTTCACTTGTCTTAATGAGCACATGTTTTTTGTCTGTTAATCTGTAATGTTTGATGAGTTTAATATGTAGTAACTGTCTCAGGTATTAGAGGAAATAAGGCCATACCTGGTTGGGGCAGCTGGTGGATCTCTTGAACTAGTAGCCATTGAGGAGCCAATAGTAAAGGTTCGAATCACAGGTCCAGCTGCTGGGGTCATAACTGTGCGTGTTGCTGTAACACAAAAATTGCGAGAAAAAATACCTGCTATAGCAGCAGTTCAGCTGTTATGATGATATTTTGGTACAAAACAAAGCGAGAAGATAAATTACATGGCATTCTTGTAAAATCTTTCATGAACACTAATGGGAATAAAGTATTACATTACATGTGATGTATAGTAGATTCAATATAATGCTTTCACACAGTGGAAGAAGACTCCCATTACTATTACAGTCAAATTACTGTTTATTGTTTGTATTTGTAGCTCAGTAATGTTAAAATTGTGAATTTTAGAAGAGCTACCTGTTTTACATTGAGTTTAAGAAGTTCATATGTTTTAGATTTATTGATAATGGGATAATCTGTTTGTTGATTTGGATGCATGTTTGATATGCCTATGTGTTGTTATATACTCGGCTAGTATATCTATATGTTGTGGAGTGACAGAATGCTTGGTTGATAAAATGCTCTATATGTTGGTTGATTTTGCTGCCATTATTGATGAAGTACTCCCATGATGATGTACAACTGTTGAAAACCTTTCAATAGGAAAAATAATTACTTCAAATCATAAATTAATTGTTGAAAACCTTTCAATATGAAAAATAATGAGATTTTTTGAAGTTTCTCAATTTTAGCCGAGTCCTAAAAAAAGCTAAATTCTTAAATTCCATCTTCTTCAATTGCATGTGAGTTTCTATCAATTTTGAAGGTTATGTACAACTGGACTACAAGAGGTAAGCAAAATAAATTTTTCTTTCTCTTTTTTTTTTTTTTTTTTGGTTGGCCGAGACACCTTATCAATGTAGAAGAATTGGATTTTTTTTTTTTGGTTGTCGTTTTGGTGTTTATTGGTATGTATTTGAAACTAGTTTGAGTTATCTCTAGAATTTTACAGCTAAAACGATCACAAATATAGAACGTAGGGAAACTTGAGACAACCTTTTAGAATAAGTGGTGAGTTTATTTTAGGATTTAATTATGTAACTGAAATACCAGTGCAATTAGCTAGATAGTTAATAAGAGAAAATAAGATAGTTATTTAGAAATCCTACCTTCAAAATATTAGTTTGAGGGTTGTTTGACATTTAACCCGCATGTAAAAATGCAGTAAATAAAAGAAACCGTGGGTAAATTCACAACTAATAAATGTAGTGTCTGAGCTTCCTTCAAGAAAGGAGGAAAATGAGTTTAGGCGGGGTCCTTGAGAAATTGATAGGTTTATTGAGAATTTGAAAAGAAACTAATTGAGTTGGACTTAGTCTAGTTTTGTCGTTGTTTGTCTTTTTTGTAAGGTCAAATCATTTAGGGTAGATCTATATTCACCCATTATTTAAATATTGAGGGTGTGAATTGCAAGCCCTAACGACTCGTATAGAGAACTTAAGATCAGTTGGACTAAGCAAATGTTTTGACCATCATGTAATTTGTTAGTCAGAGTAAGAAATCTTTTGGCTACTTTTAGAGATTTGCAACAGAAGACGAAATGCGACAACCACATTGTCAAGAAGGCGGTATGCTCTTTGTCTGACACTTCCTTAATTTGGTTTTCATGGTGGTCAGAGATAAACTTAGTGAAGCTGGTACGTTTTTGATCAAAATTAATAGTGTCTTCATCCCTCTCAATAGAATCGAAAAACTTTTTCAGTTGGCGAAGGCCAGTGATGGTTGCCACATCGAACAAAATTGGTGTGATCATTCCATAAGACAATTGGAAAATGTTTATCGTACCTTCCCAAAAGTGTAACGTTGTGACAACCGTGTTTTGACAGTACGGAGGGCCAACCCTCGACAACTTGATCAATTCAATAAACTTCTTCTTTCCAAATTTGTGCCTTCTTCGAATCAACTTTGTTTAACCAATCAATATAATCCTCTTTGTTCTTGAGGGAAGGCGCAAAGTGAAAGGTACGACAAGGAGCGTTATATGACTCAGGTCAAAGGGTTTAACACGGTGATAACAAGGAAAAATTCCTTCAATTTCTCAGTATTGACATTGAGGTCAGGAATTGGACTCAAAAATGCATGAGTTTTATTAGAAACAGAAAAAGGAATAAGTACCTGAGATTTCCATATTTTAGCTTTTTCTTCCTCTAATGGTGGTTCCGGGACGTAGACTTGATTCCCAACAACAATGGAGACTTTGATTTCAGCAGCAAGAGGAAATGTACTTTGTGATTTAGATGAAGAAGCCATAGTTGCAGAGAAGGAGAGTAGCGTTGAAGAAGATGAAGTGAAAAAAGAGCTTGAAGGGTTTTTTTTAGAACAAAGAAAGTCGAAAGTAAAAGAAGAGAAAATGCAAAAGGGAAAAATGAATTTCTAGTGATGGAAAAACTATTCATTTCTCTCTTTTTTTAACAAATGGCACCTCTTTAGGCGACACGTGTTGTTCGTTCAGAGGTGGAATGCAGGTTTTAAACCTTTGTGGCCCACGTTTTTCCAAGATCGGGTTGAATAACTACTTTTTGGTCTCATCCATGTATTGAAGACGCGTGGAAGCAAGCTAAAAGGTTGGAAAACATGCAGTGAGATACGTGTCGAGCGCTAGAAATAAAGTCGCTACAGACAGTTATTTATGTGTTAGTATATATAGGGTTCTCATTTTAGGATTCAAGGTGGAAATATCATTACAAAAACTCCACAAACGTAAAGTACCCAAACAAGAGTGAGAAATGAGTATATTTAAGCAAAACATTTAGCTTTACTTTTTACTTGTCTTTTTCAGTATTTCTCTTATCCATTTACATTGCATTTTATTAGGATCTCGACCTACTCGAAAACCCTTGTTTTCTTTACAACTTATTTCCTTCGTTCTTCACAAAGCCTATAGTCGAATTCTATTTTTACAACAACAATCAAAGACTTTTCTAAGAATATACGTACAAATATGTCTTGGGATTTACTAGTCAATTATGCACGTAACTATTCTAAAGATTAAGGATTTTTTATAAAAAAAATAGTACAATTTGGATGCACTACAATACACCAACTTTACATTAGAACACTTCCAAAATACAAATGAGTGTGAATTGTGTTCTTCGGACACAGCTGTTGGTATAAAATCTATTTCTGCTCATATTCCATAAGTTTTGATGATAACAAAAATACTTAAAGAACAAAAGGGTATACTAATATTTGATTAAGTGTGGAGGTTCTGTAAAGTTAGTTATTAACTTAGTTCTGATCTAGTTAAGTAGCTTGTAAAGAAGAAGTATGAAATTTAGATTACAAAGGATCATAATTTGAAGTTCTAATAGAACCTCAAGAGCCATATGTTTTCAGAAACTCAATTGCAACATTGACTTTGCCTCTAAAAATTCAAACGAAACTTCAAGCGCTCTACTAGAAACATAGTACAGAGCTCTTTTGTCCGTACTCTGTACAAAAGCATTTTGTCAACGACTAGAATTATGGAGAAAGTCAAATAGAGGTTTTAGCAAAAGGCTCAAGGCTGAATGATACAATTTCTTTAGTCTACCACTTCATGCATATGGACGCCTTACTTGAGAAAGACACAAAGGATAAAGAGATTATTTAAAAGATGAAGATTATCATCGTACCAACTCCAACGTCTCTCTCTTGGAAACTGCTTCTTCAGCAAAGACACATGTGCAAGTAAATTCCGACATCTCTTTTTGTTCCCTCTATATAAGGAGCTGAAGATTCAAAAGAAGTAACAACAAGAACAACAAGAAAAGCAACATACAACACGTCTGAACAATAACCTTCACATTTTTCAAGCTATTGTATATAGTTGTTGTATTGCACATAGACTTGATAGTTTCTTACACTTGTATATCTTAGAAATATCAAGATAGGTTTTTGCGTGTGCTGATTTAATTATATCTCTGATTGTATATCAAATACATCTTGTTAAAAATCCTAAACACTTTGTTTAGTATTTATAAAACTCTCAGACTGTGTTTGAGCAAGAAAGTATCAGGCTGAGTGTTTGAGAAAATAAATCCTGGATTGTTAGTTTGTGAAAGGAAGTATCTTTCAAGTGTTATTGTGCAAGAATTCTAAGACTATGAGTTTGGGAAATTAAGTCTATTTCTAGTGTGATTGAGCAAGGAAGTCCTAAATAGTTGGTTTAGGTAAGAAGTCTTTTTCTGGTGAGATTGAGTAGGAAGTCTTGGATGGATGGGTCTAAGCAAATTGTAATCAGGTTCTGATTATAGTAAAAAGCTCTTGTGTGGCAAGGGAACTGGACTACTCTTGTTATAGAGGAACCAGGATAATCTTTGTGTGTGATTTACTAATTGCTTATGCACTTTAAATATTCTGATGTTGCATACTCTAGCTTAGAATCTGAACTTGGTCAGATTCAGAAGCTGGTCTTTTGAAAAAGCATAAGTTATCTGATACACAATTCACTCCCTCCCTTTCTTGTGTATTTTCTCACCTTCGGTTGGCATCAGAGCAAGGTATGTGCTTAACACTTACAGTGGTACAAAAAAAGATCTTGAAGATAAAAAGCATACTAGATAGGAGATACTAGTGATAGTCATGTTAATGGCACTAGTATTCCACATGATTATAGTGCTAATGAAAAGAGTCCATATTCTGCTAAACCACCTGCATTCAGTGGTAACTCTACTCACTTTGAATGGTGGAAGAGCAAAATATACACTTACACCATTGGCCTTGATGATGCGTCATGGGACATCCTTGAGGATGACATTGAAATTGAAGTGAATGGTGTGGGAATGCCTGCTGATAGAAAAGTTCACACACCAGCTCAAAAGAAAGTTTACAGGAAACACCACTAAGTAAGAGGTATTATTGTTGATGCTCAACCTCACTCTAAGTATATAAAAATCATAGATAAGTCAAATGTAAAGACTATCTTTGATTCATTATGTGCTACCTATGAAGGTAACCACCAAGTGAAAGAGGATAAGGTCAACCTTCTGGTTCACCAGTATGAATTCTTTATAATGAAGGACGATGAAGACATTGAAACTAAGTTCTCTAGGTTTCAAGTTTTGAACAAGAGTTATACTTCAGCAGATCATGTCTAGAAGATTCTAGGATTCTTCCTGTAAGATTCAGACCAAAAGTAACAACT